CAAACAGCCGCCACTGACCTCAATCAAATGGCAGGGTGGAAGGATCACACTGACAAATGACAGCCCAATCTGACTAATATCGTTGGACTAACGCATCGATCCTCTGTAGAGGACTATCAGTGATCGCGTGTGAATGGAACCTGTTTACTGACCTGATTCGTTGCAGAATCAGGGCATTCTCGCATATATGCCGTCGTTAGCCGTCTATCATTTTTTCACAGTCATGTATTTTGTCTTGTTTTGGAAACCTGGCGATTTATTCCCATACAACAAGTATATTAGTGTGCTCGTACCATGAACGTGTGTTTTTGCCTAATGGGAATTGTCACATATTGTGTCCACACAGTTGGGATGCGTGAAGACGGCATGGAATGATTTCCGCAGCTCGTGGTGATGGAGCTTGCTGACTACCACAATTCCTGGCCCAGACACGCTGTATCAGTTTGCGGTCGAATGATGACATAACAAGGATTGCGCATGATCCCAATAACGCAGAACAGTTTAACGTAGGTTTTCAGTGATATGAAGAACTTTCCACGTTGACGTGTGGTCACACCATGACTCATGCAATGTCCGACATTTGCTGGCTGGCATGAGGGGGTGTTGCAAATCCATTCGGCATTAAACACCCAGCATCACTCGTCCTTTAAAGACTTCGTCTAAACCCTCGTGTGGATATTCGACAAACATTCCACAAAACATGGAGTTGAACTGTCCGACGATGCTCCTGATTCCATCATCATCACTTCACACACGCGACGGCAAATCGTGCTTCTTATCGGCAAACGGCAAGCAACGAGGCCTTGTCCCACGACTTCACTCTCGATCAAGTGGACCTCGCCATCTCCTCACTCCAACCTCACTTAACACCACCATCTTTTGCACCTTAGTGTGCCGTCTTTCTCGTTTCCATCCCTATAGCCGACACCGCAGCAACCTACGTCTGATCAAAGCTTTAAAGACACATGAGCAAGACATATTTAAGTGGCCTGTATCAAATCGGTGTATCGACTGCTCCCTACATACCAAACAACCGACACCGACATCCATGTACATGTACCAACGACCGCAATACGCTAATCCAACTCCAGTTCTACATCGCTCAATCCGACATTAAACACACCAAACACCACATCAACGCATGCGTCCGAAATTAACTCCGACTTTTTCCCATGCACCAATAAGTTAATAATAAGCACACGTTTCTACAAAATCCCATAGAATGGGAAACACATTCGTAAACACACGAATCACACACAACGGACTTCACGCCTTCCATCACCTACGCCCAACCAACTCAGATCTCACCTCTGAGAGTACATGCACTTTTCTCACCAGCCACAACCTGCGCCCAAACTGATATGTCCTGCCAATCATTATTCATCACAACACACTTACATCCAACTTGGTGCTGTCTAGCAGGACATTTCCATTGTGCCTTCACTGAGCTTAATTCCGTGCATTTCAAGCATATTGCAGCTACGCGTAGAGACAATTTCAATACAATCGCCTTACGCACACAACTAAGCATTTGAAGCTGTTTATTCATGCAATTTGAACCAAGCCAACAGGTTCTGTATACAGGATGTTGTGCAGATCTACGGCGAACCATCTGGAAGCCTGGTCACCGAGGGGACGTCGCCAGTGGGGGTGGACAAGGCTGCGGTGGACACTAAAGAGTCGCCGCAGAATCGATTTCTGCCAGCAAGGAGGGGCTGTCGGGGAGTGGAGGTACAAATCGGGTAGCCCATACAAAGTCTGTTTTCGTTGGGGACGGAAGTAGTCGGATTAGAGCCAAGTGAAAATCGTACAGAGGGTTTCTTCACGTCGCCTTCTGTCCTAGCCTGATCGCCACCAGCCTTGGTGGCACTGGCGGTCATCATGCCAGACAAGCTGTTCGAGCTATCTAAGTTAGCCACACTGCGGCTAAAGAAGCTATCGTTTCGGTTAATCCTCGTTATGGTTTCCGCCAAACGCTTTTTGCGCATTGCACGTTCCTCCTTAGCCTTGCGCAATACCTCCGAACAGTCGCGATGAATAGCTTCAAGGAATTGGCGATTCTGCGCAGCTATCTCTTGGGCCTTGCGTTCAGGCCTTGCGGACTCGTTGGCCTGGCACGACTCAGCCACCAAATGCTCCTCTTCCACGTCGCCATCACGAGCCACCTGGCCCTCCACCTCGCAACGTTGAAGGTCTTCCCTCTCCTCCTGTGCCTGCTGACGTTCTTTCTTTGAAGGTTGTTCTTTTGACAGCTTACGTTGATCAGTTATTTTTACACTATAAGTGCCACCGGCGTTTGACTTTCTGGTTCGGGTGCTTACGGTTCGTGAGGAAACACAAACAGAACGCGGAGCTAAATTGCTGAAATCCACAGTAAGAGACGTCACCACGTGATCACCATTAGCCGATGGGACGGAAGTCCGATTTGCTGAACCTGACATCATGTGAGAAGGACGCACTTCCCGTCTTAACCAGTCGAGACGTAACAATGTAGATATTCAGCCCCGATGCGGTTTTTATACCGAAACTTGATTGAATCGTGTGTGGCGAGCAGCGAGTGAGCACAGTTTGCAAGTGTAGGTGAACACGATTCCATCGATACGTGAATGAAGTTCACGCAACTCCGTTCATTCAGAGATCGATTTGTTTGGCCTCGCATTCGAACTAGTGTGCAGTCAGATTGATGGTGGACTGGCAACAATTTGGGTTATTTATTTAAATTCAGCTTAAGGATACAACACGAGGCAGGAAGATTAGTTTCATGTAGAATACTTGTAAGAGCCAACTGTGGAAAAGTCAGTGCTCGACGAGGAGGTATGCAGTCACACGCACAGTGGCATTAAGCCAGTCGATGTCACCTCGAGCACAATTAGACAAATGAGATAGGAGTAAGGACTTGGTCAAAACTGGTAAAAACTCCTTCAGGCAAATTGTGAGTGGATACTCACCAAATCAACGTGATTTTTACTCAAAACCTCTCAGCTACAACACCTATCTTTAAGGTAGGGAAAGAAAGCGATAAATGGACAATTGTAACCATCAGCGTGAATGAGTAGTCAGTTAAAAGATTTCGCATTACAAGTCAAATGACTTCTTCGTTGTGGAGGAAACTAACCTCGGCGTGCTAAGAACTTGTGCTTGCAAGTATATCTGCTTAGTTGACTGTTCTCCAAACCAACTTTACATTGTCACAGCCTTCTACGCAAATAATTGGAAGTACCAAAAGGTGCAAAACATCCGAAAATGATAATCAAAGGCGGTGCAAATTGCGGACACATGGAGCTAATTAAATCTAATTCCTACATTTAAAACAGCATGGTATTTTAACCAAGCTGTGGCTACTAGTAATGTGGCATGTGCGAAGCATTCAGAAATCCGACGAAGAAATGTTTCAACTACCAAAACGACTTGCTTAATTTGCAGTGAATTGATGTCAAGCTTAGCTGACGTGTTTGACAAGCATTTCTGTAATGATGGTAGTGAACGATGCCACAGTTGGTTAGGGGCCTAAATTAGCACTACCACAAAACCCTATAGGTAAGAGCCGATCAAAACCCAAGATTAGAGAAGGCAGAGTCAAAAGGGAACACGACCGTTTATTCGCGTCTCGCCGGTCAAGTCGAGTCGAGTAAAATCGAGGGCCCAGCTTCTGTCTGTGGAATCGATACGCGTGCGTTACAGGCGCTGCTAGCAAGAGCCAATAGCAAAGAGGGTGAGTCATTGATAGAGTCGCGCAAGCACACAAGCAGCACTCACGTGCGGTGGCTGTCTGTCCACAACAGTGCATTCACGGTAAAAAAATCGATTGATGTGTTCACGCGCGCTTGCAAACTGCGTCCGCTCGCGAATGCCAACTGTGCTGGCTTGTTAGTCGCCACAAGCCTTTACTGAATTGAGCTGATGACAGTAAATTGTGGCTTCCTTATGATCAAGGTGGTTTTACGTTAGTGTATGTTATAACATATTGAAGACACAGTGACTGAGTTTGCATTCAGTTATCGTAATGTGCATTGCACATTTACACGAAATTTTGCAAGTCCACACTCGCCTAGCCAATAACTTGCTAAAGACCGCACACTAGCGACGACGTGGGCCCTAACTTCGAGTGGAATTTTTCGAAGAACACAACATTGAAAATCAAGTAGACTCGACGTCATTCCGTGTCTTTTTCCACGAGAGCACGCTGTCTCTTTACTGCGCTACTACTTTCACTAGACCCTTGTGAATTTTCGAAAAGGTTGTTGGATTGAGCAGTTATCGTGGGTATTATCATCAAGTCACTTAATTACCGCAACCACAATGATTTGTTAGGGTAAAATGCATGTGTTTGAGGTCATAAAAAGAAAGTGCACTAGCATTTACTCAGATCGCATCAGTAGTAAGTTATGTACAATATTAAGCGTTACAAAATCAGTCAGTTTTGGGTAGCAGGCATCCGCACGAGAACCTTCTCACACGTCTCCTCAACCGTCGGTGCCACTGAAAGTCAAGCACGTGCTATCAGTGGGTGCAATCCACCAAAATCCATCTGGCGGCGTAAGAACAAGTAAAACTCACCACTTCGGAGTCATGCGGACGCAAGTCTTCGCCTTCATCTGTAACTTGCACCATAGTGATTACATTAGCATATGACCTGGTGTGTTGCCTTTGTGCGACCCTCATCAACCATCTCTTCCACCTCTTTCTTTCCACGTTATTAACTACTTCACCTGTTTGCTTCAATTGAACAAGTGGCATGGGCTTTTTTTACATTCAGTCTCTATGCTTGTAAAATTAACACTGCAAATGGACAGTATGTTCAATGCATGATAACCTTATTAAATTGATCTCATTACATTGCACAAGGGAAGTCAATTTATGCTAAAAGTAACTGTCAAAAAGTAAAAATGAGCACACTAACTCACACGAAAGTACTTCGAGACGTACGTAGTCGTCATTTGAAGTGTTATCATCATTCTCGCCATCTCTAATCGTCGAAACACAGCATCCTTGTGTTGAATCGTCAATCACGTCACCCTCAGAAGCGGCATCATTGAAGGTGAACACGTGAGTGCTGCGATCATTGGTCATGTGGGACGTCAAAATACCATAATCACAAAGGTCTAAAATGTCCCATTACGTTTTGTGTCTGTTACCTCGGTTTCAGTTATTCGGCATTACATCCTTCAATTACTCTAACTCACCGGTGTCACGAGTTCCTTGGACACTTTCGGTTGCACCTTCGCATGAAACAACCGTTTTTGGTGTCAGCTGAATTACCGCTGCGGTAACCAGAGAGCAGTCGTAAACACCTTCCTCCTCCGCATCCACGTCCTTCACTTCGGCAAATTGAAGGTTGTCTGCAAACATTGTTGATGCATTCGTGCGTAGATCCGAAAAAAACATAAGTACATTTTAACCTGGTCAACTTACAAGTCGGTGGGGAGGGCGCAATCTTTTTAGCAAACATTTTTTTCATTTTTGCGCGGGAATTTCGGCAGACGCATGCACAGTACACGATAGCTACACTCAACACCAGTATTTGCCACAAGGTCGGAAAGAGGAGCCCCAAGCAGACGCTGACTAGGGGCAGTAGGGTCTCAATGTGAATCATCGCATTTGGCCCTTTCAGGCACCCAACTTCGTAAGTGGCAGCTCTGCATGCGGACGCATCGATTCTTGGGTTTTGAAGTTCCCACGGTGCGTGACCGCCAATGTCCAGGTGTCCGCCAATCGCAGCACGTGATTTCTCACTTGGGGTCTCAAGGTCAACCCGCCGTATTTGAATGGACAGAATGCCTGCGTAGGCAAACGATTAATGCGAGCCGCACAAATTAGCGCCACGAGCTTAGATTGGAGCAGATTAAGTCCGTCGTTTCTGCTTGAGGCAGCGTAGACGTAGTGATTGCAATTTGGCGTAATTTTGCCGTATAACAAATGCTCGTTTTGCCTGATAGCAGTTAAATTGTACACTTTTGTGTTTTTGACCATCTTTTATTGGCATATCGTGATAAAAATAAGCTAAATGCTTGAATGTAAGACAACAGAATTAATGTTAAAACTGGTTCCTAATTTTATTGCGGGTTTGTCAGTTGGATTTTAAACGAATCAGTTACTACATTTTAAAAGTGAGTTACTATTTGGGACACATAGGCACGCAAAAATCGACACGAACATTCGGTTGGATAACACTATTTACTACACTAACTCGGCGTACAATCTAAATTTAGCCTAAATACAACACTTGTTAGTACTTACGCTCGATTTCGTACAAGCAAAGTTAACACTACTAGCACACGACTTGCCTAGATTCTGAAAATAATGATTTTGACGGTGGCAAAATTTGTCATTTTTGTAAATAAACTGACGCAATCAACATCCGTTTCCATCGAATCCCTGCAAGATATAGTTCCTATAATAACCCAACATCTCCACACAAATCAAATTTGTTTTAAACAAAGGAAGTGATTATTTTGGCATGGTGAAAAGCCATCTGTTGACCAGCATTGAGGCTATACGGCGCCACAATTAATAGTTCCAAAATCTCCTGACGTAGCAAGCAACCCTGGTTCAACTCTTCTTATTTTACTAAGTGGCATGCCTGTGGGTCAAAATCATGTCATTTTTGGACACCTAAATTGACAAGTGGGCCTAACTGCCCTTTAATGGCGGAAATAGACGCTTATTAGCAGTCATGGTAAAATCAATTGAACTGTTTAATTCCAGTTTCTACATTAATTCCACTTGTGACAGGTTATGCTTATCGATTTGTTGCTACAAAACTTTCAGACATACCTATCAGCCGAATGCCAAGGTTTATAACTTTTAGCAAAGTATGTCAAAATACCTATTTTATCTGTGGACCGCATTGTCACAAATACTTTTTTTCTGCCAATACTACAAATGTCTGCAAAAATATCCCTCAAAATTCCTCTTACAAGAAAGGAAAAGTTACTCAAACTAGTGCCGTCTGATTTTGTGATATTAGAGCATCAACTTTTTTTAAAAAAAACGATGTTATTTTTAAGGAAATGAGCCGTCTTTGCAAGTCACCTAAATGTGTTCTGGAAACACCTTGTTGTGTAAAATTAGTGCGTGGATCGTCAGCCTTTAGATCTGGCTGTCTGCAAAAAATCGAGGCATCGCTGAGGTGGTTGAGAGATCACCCACATCTGTCCCATTTTTCCATGGAACCGTCGATAAATCAGGAGGCCACAATGGTTGCGCTTAGACCACCCACAACCGCATATCCCCTTTTGTGAGAAATTGGACGATGAGCCAGTGTACCTTCGTGATTTTAGTGCAGGTGTTAGGCATTCCAAAATCACCAATTCCTCGAACCTCTGAGGCAGCGGAGGTGGCAATTCCAAGCATTCTTAAATGTCCATCAACATTTTTTGCAAATTAAAATATTTAAAGTACGCCTCAACAACCGTTCTTATCGCGGTAAAGTGACCATTTCAAATCTAGTCTTCATCTCGCCTCGTCGCAAAAACGTAACACCCGCCTCATTTTAAACCAATGGAATTGTTTAGGGCGGTTGTGTGTCATGCTGACTTCTGTTTAAATTCGAAGGCAACATTTGTGATACCGTAGCCTCTGTTTTGTAAAATTACGCCTACTTGCAGAACTCTCACAAAAGATTTAATATGTTGGGTCAAAAGATGCAATAAACATCAGGAAATTGACGAAATGCAAGCTCAGAGTGTACATGGGGCAAAAAACGAGTTTTTGACGCGCCTGTCTGCAATACATGTCTAAATCTTAATAAGAATAATCTAACACAGTCTCTATTAGTCTAAAGCACAATTTGTGATGTAATAACGCAGTATTGTGGCAAAATTGTGAAATCCATATGTTGCCTAAGACCTGGAGAAATCAACAAGCAGTATCTGCTTGAGGACTTGGGAATAGATTATTTTTAATGGTTAATCATCTACATTTTCCATAGGTATTCCTGAGTTTGCCAGCAGCTATTTCGACAATCAAACGACCGCATATGGCTAATATGAACGCATTATATTCTTGTCAGTCAGACAGAAAACCGCAAAACGGATTGGCAGAGACGAAAGGTAAACTACTGACACCCGCAGAATGTGTGATCATTGTAAGGGCACTTGGACAAACAGCGAGTCAGGCAGGCATCTGAGACAAGTAATAATCCGACCTGATGTTAGACAGTGCCACTATAAATTTATTGATGCGTGCTAAAGTTTCCACGATTTGGCCATGTTTTACATGGACTTGGTATTTTACGATGATGTCTTGGAAACAACGCTGCACAACCTCCAATCGAGGCCGAATCGTCCATGGTGAATAAAGACGACCATCCAGTTTTTGTCCACAGTCTCTGTAGGGGCGAATTTGCGATCCCAGAGAAAAGTATTTAATGTTTGTTGTGGAATTTGAAGAACCTTTCATCACGTCGGGGTCACCAATTGTTGTGGGCCCCACCCCGTGGTCCTGAACCACTCCGGGGCTACGGAATTACCCCTGGCATCTTTTGGCCTATTCTTGGAAGCTACTGACCAGCTTGTCATTGGCTGTCATTCACTTGGTCTCTTACGAGTTGTTCCATAGAACTATGCATCAAGTAGAGTGCCAACGCCACATCCGCCTGAGTTATTCGCAGTTTCAATCGAATAAAGGAACTAACTCTTGCTGGTTTTGACATGTGTAGTGGGCCCCAGCATGTGGTCTTGAACCACGTCGGGGTCACGGAATTAACCCTGGCCCGATTACGCTTGCCTGATACGCGCAATGGATGATAATATCGGAGAAGACGTGGACACAACCGTTTACTTCAGAGCTCAACCAAAATTGGTGTCGTCGTGTCGTGTGTGGGGTTTTTGTGCGTGTGTACTTTATACCCAGGTGTGAGGATGATCCAGGATAAATATCCGTGCCAGTGAGGGGAGAGTTGTGGATCCGCGCGGCTGGCGACATACTGCGGAAAGAGGAACTTTGTGTCAGAGGATGGAGCGACCGGATTATGGGGTGTGAATAAACACGACTCACAGCAATGTTCTCTGAGTAGACCAATGCTTATTGTACAAAATTCCAAGCTTTGTTTGATCAGGCATTTCAGGGAATTACACTGGTCTGTGGACGCCATTAAATAGTTTTATGTCCTCTTTATGGCTTCAGGCTTATTTAATAGCCCTTCAGAAGTTTGCCCAAGTCTCTGGTTCTGCCGATGAACCATTGTCTTAGGTCACCGATATTAGCCTAGCTGTGCGTGTGTGTTTCACCCACTCGTCCACATTTTATTCACTGCGAAGTGCTGTAAGAAGAAGTGACTGAAACCGGGACTGGGGTGTACCTCCCCTTAACGCGCGCAGTAACACGTGCCTGCCCCAGATGGGGTGCCAGGGCATAGCAAGGGCGCCACGACTTGATACACCGACACGCGCGCGCACGCACGCTCGCACTTGCCCAACAAAATACGTTACACGTGTCGGAGTTTGGTGAGGCCAAGTGCAACCAGGTGCGCGATGTGTTTGGTACAATAAAGCAAGTCTTTCTACATTGCTTCCACCTCCTAGTTTATCGTTTGGGTGTAGTGCTGCAACAGTCACCTTTATAAATGCGTATTTCTAAACGGAGTACCTCACCGTGATCACGCATTTCAGGAAGCAGGCATCTTTTAGTGGATTGGTAAGGAGTGTGACGCATGGTTTATTGGGGCATTATTAAAATGTTCACACAACTAATTTCGAAACTGGACCAACTGCCTAACTGAGCGTTGAAGTTATTTTGTATTTGGAAAAAACTCATCCATAATGTGGATAGCATTTGAAAAAGACTTCACATTTATTAACTCAAACGCAAACAGATCGCCAATTTTTCATAGTATTCGGACATCTCACGCAGAACCGACTGTCGTTACAGTCCTGTGTACTTTTATAATTTCACCCAGACTTAGTCGATTAGCGACACCTCATTAGTCAGACAAAACTGAGTTGTGGTGTCTGATAGAGGGTTAAGTCCCTCTCCTTACTCCAGTCTCATTTCTCATCTTTTTTTGTTGTGCTATTTCGTGCAACAAAATCCGTTTTAAATTTGCAGAACTGTCGTGTGGTTATCAAACCGCAACGTGATCGACTACCACCGTAGTTGGCGTGGAGACCATCCGATTTAATTGTTTTATGTGTGACATGGCGTCGGTTTTTATATTGGAAAGCTTCGCATTAATCTCTGAATGAACAATCGGCTGCAATTATGTTGGTCTGTCTACTGTTTACTTTACTGTCTAGCTATTCCTAACATTTGCGTGTTTGCTAAGCAAATATTTTCTTCGAAAAATTCAGTGGCAACCGTGTTTCCGCAAATGACGGAGACTAGGATTTCATCTCAAGATACGTGGAACATATGCAGATATTTGTTTAAAAACAGCAATCAAGAATGTTGTCGCAAACGTTAGTGGAAAGTGGGGCCCCACGACTCTTACATTCGTTGTGAGGTTTTGAGGTTGCTCTGTCAAATTTTCACCTTGCCCGTCAGCTTTCAAACCTAATGTGTGACAAGACGTTAGACAACGATGCGGCTTTGAATAATCGGCTTGGCTAGAAGACACCAAAATTCCGGTCAAACAGAGATTATTCACTAACAATCTAACGACTATTCTCCGGTTAAGAAGAATGCATTGGCCCAATTTATGCAGCTATTTGGTGAAGTTAAAGAAATTATTTAGAAAAAAGTGCAATTCATCGACAAAACGAAAGGTTACAAACAATTTAGAGGAAGGGGAGAGGGGAAACAGGTATTCACAAATATCAGCAATTCTGTACATTCTAGAATAGTGGATACCAGAAAGTGTTTAAGGAGGCGACGAATCAAAAACTATAAGTTCGATTTAATTAAACAGGCCTAATAGGAAACACACAAGAACAATTGCTGTGCCATGAACCAAGGACCCGAGCAACGTAGTTTTCATGTCAGTTTTTATGCCAGGCCATCTCATCTTGTTTTGAAAGTTGTCATTAGAAATGACGCAGTGATTACATTTTATCCTTCGACAAATTTAAAATTTTGATAAAATGTCAAGCTAAACCTACAAATGCAGATTCACCAAAATTATTTTGTTCTTCGGGTTAATTACAGATGGCCTTATGGTGCAACAATCATTCGTAAAAATGATCTAGGGTTCAAGTTGGAGCCACTAGCCTCCACCACATTCTTCTCGCCCAGTCTACGCAATATTTTCGGCCCATGAAGCATATTTTATTAAAAATGAATTTACTTAATGCGGTGGACATCAGAACTAGAAAAAAACTCACACTACGACAATATTCCTTACCTACGTGAGACTTAAAACTGCGCAAAGGTAGGAGCAAACGGAATAACAGGATTAGACAGCTGATTAACTGGTGCATGCTTTTAGTTAACGCAGAATTCTAAAAGACTCAAATGTCAGTAAATCTGAAGCCTCCGGTAAACACCAAATACAACTCGCAGCCACATTTTCCTAGATGTGAAGTTAAACTTGCAGTCAAAATCAATGAATGCATCTTTTTCAACATCAGATAAGACGCCTGCTTCTCTTAAAAAATTCAGAAAATTTGGACGTTTCTTATTTGCACTAATGAGTGTGATGCGTTTGGGGCCGGGTGTAAATGAATTATGCTTTAACGCGTGTCTTCGGAGCTAACCTACGCTGTCTATTCATGTTATGTGTTTCAAGACACCAATATCGTTTTTTTAAAACAAAAACTGCAAGTCCGCAGACCCTAAAACATCACTAGAATAACCCAGTTTTGGTGGGGAAAGGCAGGGGGGATACGACGACACAACGAAGCCTGCAAGCTGGCAAGAGGGCACACGGCGACGATGCCGCACAAATCACGCTTCGGTCAAAATACACCAATTAGAAGTGGAGCGGAATGCGGCCGGCGGACCGCCCAGAAACCATTGGCATCCACATGTTGTGTGTGGGCAATGCATTACGGTGGTCCGGGAGGGTTCTCAGAGGAGGCTAGCTCCGGAGGTGGGTGGACGACTGTGGGGGACAACTTCCCAGCCTATCCCCCTATCGACTGTGATAAACACCAGGGAGGCAAAACGCGATGCGTTTATTCAATAGATTGTCCAGAGGGTAAGCTCTTGCTATGCCAACGTTCGTTGCCTACTTCACCATGGACTGATTTTATTGTCATAAGTTAGGTTCACTTCCTGGCAGCTCGTTTGGGGAATTTTGAGTCCTGAATTGACTTCGGTTTATGGGCTTGAATCCTCCTCATCTAACTCCGATTTGTTTTTGAGTGTGAAAACAGGTGGTTTTTAATCATTGAGCGAACTTGTACAGTGACCCTAAAAGTGCATACAAAATGTAATGCTTAATTGGGTTGCTCCGTATGGCATGCATTTGCACTTTTCCACTTTGCACTTTCCGCAAGGTCGGCGAAATTGACTTGAACAAATTTTAGTTGCTAAAAATCGGTCATTTTGGTAGAAGAATTTTAGTTGCGATCGCCGAATAGCAGCTGGCCTTTACTCTTGCAGTCAAATTATGTTTAACTAATTAAATAACTACCACCTCTCAACAGGTTTGTCAATTCGACAAAATGGCCTTCGAAAATACGGAGTGAGTCTGAAGGAAATGCGATATCGTGTACATGAAACAAAAACATCCATAATAATGTCAAATGTTAGTAGTCGATTCGCCTATCACCTACTTTAATGCATCTAGAAGCACACTAGTCATCACAGTATTTTGCACATGATTTAACTGCTTGCGCGACAAGTTGTTGAATTGTACTCGGTCTACCAGCATAGCCGAATGTCTTTGGCGTATTCCAGAGGAAATTTTTTGAGGACGAAGGAACGAGTCATGATGTCCAAGCCAGTCACGAACGAGTCTTTAAGAAGTGCCAAGTACCTGCGGATCCTATCTTGTGAACTTTCTTAGCTAATTCACGAGTTCGAGGAAGACATTTGAAGATCTTATCACAAACGCACTGGTTTAAAGCGTTAAATTAGTCTATCAGTCGGGTTTTTTAGTGTTTTCCTTTGAATCAAGTGTTTGTCAGACTCTCATTGTTTTTTTTCCAAGTTGCCTCTACAATGACCGCACTTTTTTCGTTGTCAGTCATTAGTCATTCGTCTCTGCTGATCCGCAGCACGATTTTCTACTGAAAATTTCGAACAAACATTTCTATCTGGTTGGCAAAGGTAAGGTGCATTAATATTAGCCACGTCGGAACACAATGTCCAACTGAGGAAGCAACGGTCGCACGAAAGCCTAAATCGGAACTAGTAAACCCAATAATATGCACATATTGAATGTACGGTTACTTTTGACTCACCTAGCTAGCGTAAAACCAGCCAAAATTTGGGCTAATTTAAAAGTTTTCAGATTGAACGTCTGATTTTGTTAAGACCACTGGTGCTCAAATTGAATGGATGGTAATATTCAGCCGATAAGATAACTTAAAATCACACCCAGCTCAGATTTTGGGCCACCAAGGCCTAACAATAATACAATCCTGCAGTCAAGCACTTTCCTTGAAAAAAATTAATTAATGTTTGCTAAATTCTCGCCAAAATAGGTTCGCAATTTGCGCCACGTAACCAGAATTTCTCCCCAGTCAACATTTTTTACAAAAAGCACAAAAATAAACAGCTTATGACTTACAAGACACGGTTAGTACCTCCTATATTTTATATTTTGCAGTGTACTTTGCCTAACCTTGTCAGTATGCGTTCGCTGTAGCCGTACACAATGCGGACGGGTATCTATTTACCGGTGCCTCGGCATTCAAAGCCAACCACGAAAACACCATAACCCAGCGCTTTCTCGCAAACGTCCGAGAGCGTCAAAGAACACAGTCGTTGAACAAGGCCTTCGCTGAACTTCGGCATATTATTCCCACCCTACCGTCGGACAAACTAAGCAAAATCCAAACTCTACGGCTTGCAACACAGTAGGTCGATATCTACCTCTGAGTGCCCTATTTTTTAAGACACATACTGCAGTCTAGACAAGATTTCTTTAGAGTAAAAGCTAAGGATTTAGTGGATTCATCGGCAGGAAGCATCAAATAGAAATTTCGCTAAATCGAAGACGCTTAAACTGTCAGGAGTTATGAATTAGTTGAGAAGAAATGTAAACTTTACCACTGAAGGTGTAACAAAAGTGCTCAAACTGATCGTAGCATTGCTTAATTATGCATTGTGCGTCGCAGTGATTTTCTCTGGCCATTGCGTAATGTCTCTGAGCCTGTCCTTTATAGATACATCAATTTCCTATCTAATCTTCTCAATGATTCACAACATCTACAAAATTCTCCCGCGCCAGTCGATGGACCTGTACCGATGCCTGAAACTCAACTTCTGCGGACAAAGTCGCCCAACGTTGTGGCCAACCATCAGACTGCTGATTCATCCATTAATATAGCTGAGAGTGCGTACTACACCCCGAGTGTACACGCAGACGCCCATAGCGTCAGGTTCAGTCAGGCTTTCGCGCTTTGGAAAGTCAAATCAGAGTGAGCTGTTGGGCGCCAGAAACAAATCACTTCCCCCGCTTATTGTCAACTATTTTAAGTTAATAATGCCGCTGAAAATAAACGCATTTAAACTACGTTGTCGCGTTTGTTAATTTAAATAATTTATTGATTTTTGCTCACCTGAAGTTGTTAATTACTAATTGAGAAATTATTCGGTGTGCGTGCTGAAAGCCAGAGGGTGAGGTTTTGACTTTGTTTTAACGAACTGCTTTTAAACGCACCAAGTTTAATGCGAGTGTTAAACGGAGTTGATAAAATCCTCCCTTTTTTTCAAATGGATTCAAATCGGAATGCCTTCAAATAGGTTAAGATGATTGTACATCTATTGCGATTTTGACTGAAATTCGTGACACAATGCGACACTTAGTCGTGAATCATCTCATATTTTGGAATCAAAACTGTACAAAAATTATAATAATAATAGTAGTAAGTGTAGATTTTGTTGTGAATCGCGGATCCTCAACTCCCCCCTCATTTGCACAAATATTTATCCTGGATCATCCTCACACTTAGGTCGCCATGCTAGCGCATGTATGACTCACACATCTGAAGTATAAATACACACGCACAAACGCCACACACGACATCGTTGTGGTAGAGCTCTGAAGGAAACGGTTGTGTCCACGTTCTTCCCCCGTCTTTGCCTTCATCGCGCGTAGTAGGCAAGCGTAATCAAGCCAGAGTTAATTCAGTGGCCAGGCGTGGTCCAACACCCCATGCTGGGGCCCATAACAATATAGTTATTGCAAAAAAACTCGATTTAATGAAGTCATTCCTAAAGGATTTCACTACTAAAATAGGAGGAGTAGCACTTCCTAGCCGTATTTTGGTTCATGGTAAGTTTTCGTTCTGAATTATTGAATCCAGTGATAGCAATGCCACTACACATCTACTCTCTTATTTCCTTTTAACCTACTCACGTTTTGTTCTTGAATATTCTTATTCAAAAGTGGATACCCCATTTTAACAGAACGTAATAAGCAGCCTAATATATATTATACTACCTCTTTCTGTTAGTAATTGCCTCGGAATCACAATTACTTCCAGCTAAACTGTATGAAAAAAGAACACTTTTTTTCCTATTCACCTCTGCAGTGTGAACCATGTCAGATGAACGTTACATTACTGGATTTGGAGTTAACTCGTCGTTGGATCTTTCCATCGAAAAGCGTGAACGGCTTGCTCAGTATTTAGAAAATCAGCCCGAACAAACAACTGTCGTGGCAACAAAGCCGTGTCAATCAGTAGGTGTCTTAAATTACCCTACACACACACCCTCATGCATAGCTGTCGTTTTACGAGGTGGGAAATTTTTCCTAAATTTTTGAATCTACGCACACTGATAAGAAAGCGTCAATTTTCTGCATTCAGGCGAATGGCGTTCGAACCCAGGAAATCGGTATTCAAGTGGAACAAATAAGATCATTAGTTAACAAACAAGTTCAGGTAATATGCAACAGTTGTGGATTGAATTTAAGTAACTTTATTCCAAGGTTTCTCGTGTTGCATTATCACAGCAACTCCAAATTTGATTCCCCCAATAGACAAACTACTCTCCTGTATATGTTTCAACATACCAGATTTAGAAATGCATTGCCAAATTTTATTTGCCAAAGTTGTTTACAAATCGTGGAATACCGTTTTTTCTTCTTAAACAAATTTGTCTCTTACTGTGTTTGTTAGACTACAAAATCGAAACGTTCTGATAGGGAAGGCGTTAGTGCCTCACAATCGCACGGGAAAAGCTTGAATTCAAATTATCACTATTCCCGTCGCAGAAAAGGCGATCAGACCTTCTTGAAAGAGGCCCTATTAATCAGTCGTAAGTTATCAAATTTGAACTTTTTAAATTTCATGGAAAATATTTCTGGTGGAGTTAATTTATGCATCTGACTCAAAAGTTAACTTCATTTGTTGTGAGCGTTAAAATTAATTTTAAAAAGAACCTTTGGTGGTAGTTATGGAGACAAATGTTTGCACAGATAGGCAAAAGATTTAACCTACCTGGTGGTATTATCGAAATAAGCATGTGAAAATTGTTCAATATATGTACAAATATGTTGTTTTGGGCCCCAGAATGTGGTCTTGAACCACGCCGGGGCCACGGAATTAACTCTGGCCCGATTACTCTTCCTTACTACCCGCAATGAAGGAAAATACCAGGGAAAACGTGGACACGAGCGTTTACTTCAGAGCTCGACCATAATTGGTGTCGATGTGTCGTGTGTGGGGTTCGCGCGTGTGTATTTATAGCTTGGATGTGTGAATCATACATGCGCTAACATCGAGACCCAGGTGTGAGGATAACCCATGGTAAATGTCCGTGTGAATGAGGGGGGAGTTGAGGGGAAAAGGGGGACCCTGTGTCGGAGGCTGGAGTGATCGGATCAGCGAGTATGAATCGACCCGATTCACAACAATGTAGATTTGGTGGTGTCCTACCTTGTGCTATTTTTCAGGTGCAAATATGATACTGAGTGCTTCTACAACTATTAACTTCTAGCGTTCATTTGCCAGATTTCATACTAGAAGCTCCAATTACCCGACACCGTTGTCTTCCTAAAAAATTTTTATCGTGGCGTGTTTTTGACCCAATCCAGATTCTAAAGTACACTTGAAGTTTTTTTAGCAGTGTTTTTCAAAAAAATAATTAACTTTATTGGGTCTAAGATGTAACCCGCAAATAAAGAGCTGGCATGTCAAGAGACTGCCACGTAATCTAAGTTCAACATTAGCTATCAAGCTCCCTAAAAAGTGAATGAAAAGGGGAATGATTTCATCTGATTAATCTGGTCATTATCAACTTAAGCAGTTCTACACAACTGGTAAAATCTGTTGAATACTTCTCGTTCACTTGATGTACACCATGATACTTGGTTTTGGGCTGCAAAATGCACGCTCCGCCCTCTGTTAAAACCAAAATGTCGATTAGTTTGTCAAATTAATTATATTTCCTCTTAATGTACTTTAATTATTTTAAAAAAGCTGGCAATTTCTACACCCTAGGTCTGCTTAACTTCCCAGGACAACATTGGAACAAGGACCAAGAAAGCAGCCACCAGCGTGATGAAGATTTTAGACGTTAGCATAAAAACTCACCTATTTCTAAGCAGCAAGTCGTAGCATTTGTACAAACTAGTTTACAACAGATTCAGTTATGTCGTCTTGGAAATAAAGATTTTGATACTAACTGAATTTTTGTTATAATCAGGAGTTAGGGAAAGTGAAATTTTTCGATTGTCACAGTTAAAGCTATGTTTTTTATGGCTTCAACAAACATGCGGTTGGTAGCCAAGGTCGAATCTTGATAGAAATAGCAGAATCAGCGTTAAGTCACCCAAGTTAACCCTGCTATGATGATGAAAATGCACTAATTTGACTCTAAGTTTGGTGTTCATTGTCCCGGCAGTACAGTTCCGTAATCATCTTGATTAAAATGCGCTTCCGTGGCTGATTAAACTGATGATTTTCCTAAAACTACTAAACAAGTTTTTTATAAAGTTTTTACGAAAAGCTTATCAAAGAGGATGTAAGGCAGCTGATATACTCCAACGTTTTCTGGCTTTAAGTCACAAACATAATTAACTTTGGGTCAGGTAATCAATATTTTTGAATTTTTTTTAACTAAAGGTGACAGCACATTTACACGGTGAGTTTTTCACGTTCTTTGTACTCGCAAACAATTTTAACTTGCAAAATTTTTACCTCTTACATATTTTATTTAAAAAGTGAAAAGTAAGCATGGCTGCAAGGAAGGTTTTATTGCATGGGATAATTTGGGATTGTTTACGAACTAAAAGGAATCAAATTTCAGGAAAAGGCTGCAGGCAGCTGAATAAGTTCAAACTTTTCCTTCTAGAGGTAGCTAAAATTAATCTTCGCTATGATGATACAATCAAACCAACACAATCATTTTTAACTAATATCTGCAATTATTCGTATGGATAAACAAAGATTTTGGGCTTGAAAACGGAATAAATTTTTGGTGAAAAAATGTTTAGCGGGTTGGCCAGAACGGTGAACAACTTGGGGTTGATCTACGGCGCATTATACTAAGGTCTGTAAATTACCACATCTACTCGCATAATCTACTCACTGCAAGGCACTGATTTTTTTCAAGTTGCACCATTTAACTGTGGTTTTTTGCCTAAAAATTCTGACAAGCAGCAAAATTCAACGAAAATTTGGTATAATTTTATGCCATAAGGAGAAAAAATGGGCAAGCAATTACAAACCACCTCCCATGTCCGACCGGTGGTAAAATTTAGACGTCAAGTAGACGTCTTTAATGCGTTTGAAGGATGCCCTAGACAAAGTTAAGATCTGGTGAACAAAGTCGGCCACAGTCACTTTCTAATCACAATTGCGCGAGAGATATGTGTGTGTCAAATAGTGCGAAGGTAAACGGGGCCAGGGTGTGAACAATTTGTACAATATTGGCAAATGCTGATCTTGTAATAATTCTTGGTATCCACACACGACTTGCAGTGCACAAGTCATACATGGTACTGGCAGAGCCGAAACTTCAACCACCAAAGTTTGGCACATAGTTAATCTTGTCATTTGATCTCAGCGACACACCCATTAGTTAAGACCCATATTTGCTGTTAACCAAAATTTTTTAATAAAAGTGGCTACTTATTTTTTACAAGTAGGGTGTTAGATATCAAAGACACTCAAGTCCACTGCTTTTTGCATTTGCCACGCTAACAGCCATAGATGATTTGTGGAGGCTTGTAATGTGGCGAGACATCTTCAATTTTTGCAGACGGTCTGCTTACTTGTTCGCTAACCACGACAGTGATAATGAATATGGATGTAATTGCTTATTGCCATTTAAAAAGGCACTTGCCCACTTAATTCTGCCATGTTTCATGCAAGTTATTGCATTAATTGTTGTTCTGGGAAATAGGTTTTTTTTCAAAAATGGATGAGTCCTTTGACAAATTTCTCAGATCATTCGACAGCCTACAAAACCACACAAATGAAGTGCTTGATGAAGACTTAGGAATCACAGACAAATTCGAAGAAGAATTAGAGAAACCGGATGTTCATACCGATGAAATTACAGACGTAGGTTGAAGTTGTGGTTTAGTGTATAAACCATTTTATATATCAGTTTAGTTTTTTTTCATGTTGATGGCCTCAAATGCTCTTAAGCAGAAAAAGTAACCGTAATTCAATTTGTGGATTGTAGCTTCAATGTATTTTTCTGACAAACCAAAACGTACGCCACCTGATGTTTAGAGAATAGTGATAATGAAATGCCTACTTTTATGTATACAGTAGACTTATTTTTACAACACTATTTAAGCAATTGAACAGTGAAGATTTTAGTGTTCATGTGAGTTCAAAGCAGATTGACAATAGATCTTGCGCCGAACAATTAAACAAAATGAAGACTATACACCAATTAACTTCTTTTACTGTGCCATTATTGAATTACTGAAAGTGTAGGCTAACTCTGAACTCATTTTTACCAACAAGACGAACAACCAATGCGTGGCGGACGACCTTGACATGTCACAATTCGGACTAAACGAAAAAGACATTAGAGAAGCGGAGGAGATTGCCTCACTCAAAATGAGTACGTGAGAGTGAGATTTTGGTTCATGTGTGCTTCATGTACCATTTAAACACCACGTAAAACGCTTTTCACAAGTAATTCATTATGACCTACAAAGTTTGCCTGTTAACGTCAGCCCGAGTTTTGTTGTGGATGGCTTTAGTCCCATTCTACTGTAAATTTTTAAGTATTTGAAATGAGGCCAAGCTTGTGGCTAATTTTCTCCAAAATTCTTCGGCTTGACTGAATACGGTGCTGACAATTTGCCACTTTTGAATAGGAGCATTGTCTAGACTTGTCATTGCGAACGAGTGAAAATTTGACTTGATAAGCGTTTCAGTTTGCCTTCCATTTAGAACGGATATCCTCCACAAACCTGTCATCTAACATCAAGTATTCCATGACGCCGCCTGCAATAGTGTCTTCCAAGGTAATACTGCTATTTTTCGCTGGTTTAAGTGTAAATACTTATTACGTTTGCCCGTAACAAAGAGAAATAAACTCAGGTAACGGTACCAGATCCCTTGTAGACGCTAGCACCGACCTTCCCACGGTACTGCAAGAACAAGACCATAGCTCGTGTAGAGAGCTTTAATCACGTCAGCCACGGGCTAGAGAGTTGTCAAAATTGAACACAAATTCAAGCCAAGGTTGACCTTGAACTGATAAAGAGCTTGGTAAAACAAATGTTAGGGAATTTAGTGTAAATGGTGCCAAAAACCAATGACGAGCAATCTTGGGGAATCGTGGATCCCCAGCAATGCCTAAACACACACACTCATAGTAGTTAAAGTCAAACACCGGGCCACCTGCAAATTTCTAGTAACCTGTTAAATTTGGACTCATTTTGTGCGTTTGGTCAAGCAGGAGTGCGAGACACTGCAGAAACTCCTCGAAGACGCAAAATTGGCGCTGCAAAAGACCGAGGAGATGCCAAAATGGGGAGCAGACGTGGCCGCACCCACAAGAGAGGCCGCAGAAACTCTCAAGGTGGTTTATTAGGCTGAGAAATATGCAAATCTGAGTTGTGCCAAATTGTGGAATTGTTTTTTTTTAAATCTATTTCAGAATTGCGAAAAGGACAGGGAAACCCAAAACATGCTTCAAAATCTAGAGGCACAAATTAGAGTTAGTTTGTAATGTATGGTTCAAGTAATTAGCTTCGCCTGGCTGAAGTGAACGCATCAATCAAATTGGAGAGGGACAATTTGGAAAAATTGAAGGCACTGCGAGATTCCAGAAACGCCATCGGCACGGATAAGTAGCAGCGGCTCATAGAGTACGGTTTTTTCTAATTATCTTACACACATTTTACATTCCAGGCTTTAACAGCTGAACGTCGCCGCAGTTGGATGCACCTAATTGACAAAATAAAATTGCATTTTTATCTGAAAAAGGTGTATTTTGTATCTAACGTCTGGTGTCCTCAATTGCAATTCGTGAATATTTCAATGCTGCATTGTTTCTCTTTGAAAAGCACGGTAAATTTAAAATTTCACTTATAAATGACCGTCTTTGTAATGAAATGAATAAGTAAAACAAAAACCTACATGTGTTTCCTATGGGTTTAGAAAAATTCTAACCTTTTGTTTCCATAATTTTAAAGTAATAAGTTCCAGAAGAATATGCAGCCACCTGACTTAATGAAGTGCATCTAAAAGTGAAGATCATGCCTTCCCACATGCGCCTGTCGTCAGATTTTGGACCGAGGAAATGGAGATGCTGGGTTGGGGCCATTTTGCGAGACACTTTGTTTACGTAAATGTTGGGGACTCGGCACCATCATTACTATTGTCATTCGTGATTGTGCACACCAACTTTTGGGATCAAATTGACCGCCTCCTTCCTATTGGTCCATTCATATTTGAGCATACTTTTCCAACCTATCCTCGCTCAAGGCCGATTACACCAAAGATAAATTGGTGGCAAATGATGATGACCGTAGACATTACTTCATTTATAATCCATGGTAAGAAACATTAGATTATCTCTATCTTTCCATCTTTCACCAATGCCATCAAAGCGAAAACAAGGTTTCGCGGTTTCGTGTTTAGAAAAATTTCACACTGAACAGTACGCTTTATCGCGCACACAGGTTTTGCAAGCTGTGAAGCACTCGCGCTAAGCGAAAACATGCCAGCTTTTGTTTACATCCGCATGCGTCACAAAACTATGACCTACGTCAAGTTATCCGCATGAAGCGCGGCACGTGCCGCAAAGCTCAAGGGGTGCAAACACTACAAGGCAAGAAATCGAGAAATGAACAAACGCGAATGGTTTCGTGTTATTTTAAAGCTCAATTTCCACTAACAGAGTTTGGTAACTGTAGTTTTAAAGATTAACTGCGATCATTTGGGAAGCGTTCATTTTAGGACTCTAGCTGAAGACAAGAGCCCACTCTGCTCACATTTATACCCAAGTTTTGGAAGAGTCTTGCGTTTTGTCATCACCAACGGAAAGAACCAGTGCTTTAGTTTCACTTCCGAGTGCTCTGTGCTTCTCCGGTCACTGAAATCGCGCAGTCAGTGGCTTCACAAACTGCGAAATTATTGGTCCCAGTGAACCGCCTTGCACGAAATGAGTACTGCGAATCTAAAGCAGCGCAGTACTCGACTGGCACTTTGTACCAACCTCTGCGCAGCTGGCTTAGTGCACGCAACAGCAAGGCAGGGTGAGTTGCTTTACAAAAACTCTTTCATTTTGAACAAAAAAACAGACTGTTTGATGCAACAACCGTTTAGTAAAGGGCTCAATTTATAGTCCCAAAGAGACACGGTCTTAGTTGTAAATAAATAAAATGGCGTTGATTTTATGCACGGGGTGCCGGAATTCATGATCGGGTTCAGCCGGGAGATCATCCGCTGTGAAAATCAGCACAACGTGTCTGTGCTTGAGCAGGCGATGATGATGATGATGATGATGATGATGATGATGGATGTGAAGTGAAGCGATTCCCTACGAGCTTTACGCTCTATCACTAGGCAGATACAACAGGAGTTTGTTCCACTTTAAGGCACTTCGAAGCATAATTAAATTACTGAAAATGCGCGGAAGGCAAAGAATCACTTAATGTGTCCCCAATTTCAATATCTGGAACAACAAATACGTTCTCAATTTACAAGTTATTTGGGTTTAAACAATGCAAGAAACATATTTTGGTGGTCAGTAAGTGTTGAAACATATTTTGCAATAATATGGAAACCAGTCTAGCAAGTTGTGGATTATTTTCCTGTCAGAGGCATAAAAAGATTTTTTAAAACACTGGCTACTTTAGAACGCAAAAAAACGTATTCTGACCCACCTGGTTTGCGCCCTCAACCATCTCTTAAGTTAGTAGGAAAAATCGTGACAAAGCATTAAGCGTATTTTTCTCATGCAGCTGTTCAGTTTGACCAACGCCGCTTAAAATGTACATTCGGACACTAACCGGACAGTGGATGGTGTTGACCCAGCCGCATGAACTCGGCGGCGAGTACGCAGTGACCAATGACATCCTACCGAACGTGGACGCCGTCTTGAACCAGATGCACAAAGTCGACAACGACGGGTACTACGTTGGCGTTAACGGCCAGTGGACGTACCACTGCAACAACTGCTACCACTGTCTGCCCCAGTAAGGGCCGGTTTGATGACGCTATCCTGCCGAAATGGCAACCATTACAAATAAAATTTAGTTCCATTTTCGAAGAAGGAATTGTCTGCTGCACATCCCTAGTCCGGAAGGCAAAAAACGTTTGGGCACGAAAATCCCATTGGTTGTGGGCAGATCTACTAGGCGTTATTCCTCAGGTAACAGCACATTTCCAGCAGAAAGTTAACATTATGAAAAGCACTCGAGCACAGACCGATGGCCTGGAACAGTGAGAATCAATAGAATTCTGTCCCAACGTGAAGAAATCACAAATTTACTTTATTTTGAACGTCGATTTTAAAGCCCAGATTTTACGCACACGACCATCCGGGGTTTTCGTTTAATCGATGAATTTTGGGACCAAACTGTGCCTTGCCATAGACTTCCACTTATGGTAAATGAGAACAGACCAAATTTACGCCACTGGTCTTATCATGTGGCCTAGCGACTCGGTATTTCCAATAAGCGCTTTCCGTACTGCGAATACCGCTTGATTATGTTGTGGTTTCGACCAATTGTTACAGCTCTTTTTGTCACATATACTTCCTATAACCTTATCGAACATCGAGCGAAAGTGTGTCGTTGATGGTCGAATTGTGGAGTTGGGGTCTGCGTAATTGTGTTCATCCAGCGTTTAAAAAGGCATTAATTTGAATTACAAGTGAGCACCTTCCCCACCCAAACCACTTGAACCCTCGAAGCAACAAGGGCCTAAAGGCAAGTTGTGCTAATTCCCTCATGAGCACTAAGAGGTGAGAGTAGGACCTCTCTATGCATTCCTAATTCTCCGTGATTGATTGTAATCCACCCTGAATAAATAAACTAAACTGTCCAGGTGTCCAAAAAAGTCTGTGCAGTTAGCGTTTATTTCATAGGAAAAAGCAATTTATACAAAAACACGTACACGAAACAGAAATCAGATGGTATTTGAACAACACACCACGTGAATTTTCGAAGTCTTGAACTTAGATCTGCCCCAAACAAGAAAAATATTGCCTGCCCAAACCACAGATATACTCCGTTACCCATTACCTTGGACGATTGTTTGTTATAGGAACCCGTGTACAGCGTTAGGCGTAAATATGATTGAGGCATGATCACAGCCTCACAATAATACATGCTAAACTTCAGTATAAATAAGCATTTTCTCGCGGGAAGCGCACAAACGACAGGTACTTGGGGAAGTTACAGCGTGAAGCGACTCAGGAGACACAAGTAGCACTTTCATTGGTGGTTTAAACTACAACCTCAAAATGCCTCAAAACCGATTGCTGATTTCGCGGTTTTACAAATTTGAGTATGGCCGTTGTAGTATTGAGGACGAGCGACTATACAGACAAGCAGAGCTGCAAACAGGTGATTTAATAATCAGCCCGACGTGGGGATTCCAAATCCGCTTCAAAACAGATCCCACCTAAGTCAGAAGAACGCGTCTTTGGCGCAAATCCGACACCACGAAAACACTAAGCTTTGCATAAATAGGACGAAAAGATGCACGTGAAAACAGACCAACGACTAGTTTGCCGGAGTAATTGCAGGTTTATCAAGCTTCCTACGTTATAATGCGAAAAGCAGTACGTTACACTGATTGTTGTCTAAACTGTTACATTCTTACAATGTTCAAGTATAGGTGGTGTTCCAAAAACCCGCTTGAGATACTTCTCCGTCACAAGAACCCTGCCTCTCCAAGATGAAACTAAAGACGACGCACAAATTCTTGACAGAGTTCTAACCCCACCCAATTACAACGAAACCGCCTAAGTCGAATCGATTCGTAAGTTTCACAAAGGTCGCGATATTCTGCTACCTCAGTGGCATGGCGCCGTGGAAACGACAGTTCCAGTAATGACAAAAGAGTACACACCACCGTTTCGGCCGAAGGGAAGAGAAACACGTCAAAGTAACAAGCATGCGTTTCCCCAAAGTCGCCTGCACCAAAAGCAAGGATAAAGCAAGAGGATATAGTACGCCAGCTTCAATCTGCGGACACCTAGTCGATTGAGTGAAATTTCTTCTTACTGGTCTCCGACAGGTACTTCACTCGTGCGAAGATTTCGGACTAAAAGTTAACAAAAAAAACGAGAATTACTAGGATGAAGCAATGGAACGAATTTGCATTGCATACATGTTGACAGCACACCAATGGATACTGCCGATTTACACCGCTTTTTCTCACGCCGTAGCTACTCCAGCTCAATGACAACACCATTGTAATGTCAGATATTTGAGTTTGTGTATGTGTGTTAATCCACCAGGTCGAGGCCACATAGGGCATTTTCTGACTGTTGGTGCTGACGATTTGATCGACCTCTGGCCGTGACAAAAAAACTCTTACACCAAGTTTTCGGCTACAGACAACGGCACCAATTTGGCAACACGCACACCAAAAACGCTCAGCTTCTGCTGGAGGTGGTAAATTAGGTCCCAACTGAGTGAAGAGAAGCGAAAACGAGGTACATTCAGGGGTCCAAAGAGGCACGATAGCAAAGAAGTTATCTAGACTGGTAGACAACCAATCAAAATGTAAGGGTGGAAATTCGGATCACCTTGGAGTGCGCACTATTAATTAAATTAACCACAGCCTATTACGCGTTCAGTTTCACGATCAGATCAGCCTAGCTGCCTCAAAAGCTGACCACGCTGTCCATTTAGTAGCAATACCGAATTACGGTGCATTCTGGGCTGCTTCTAAGACACCCAACAATCAGTTCGGATGGTTACTGTTAACAATTTGACAAAACTAGATTAGCAAGCAATCGGAATGACTTGCTTTGTCACACACAACTCTCACCAATATTGATTACCTGAAATTGCACTTTGTTCGGTTTCGTGTATTAAATTTTCGAAAAAAACCATACAACAGATTATTTTTGTAATGGAACAATTCTTTTACTTCATTCTACAAAACCGAGATCAATCTATCGCCAACTCTACTAAGCAACCGAGCTAACAGTGGACAGTCGGTTGATTCGTGCCAAGTGGTGCGTGAATATTACCCACAGACAATTTAAGTTTACAAGTTTTTTATCGCTGGCCAAACCAAATTTTTTACTCGAACCTAAATTTATCCGAATCTCGCGCACCAGGAGACGTTTAGTCTTAAGAAATAAAACGATGCATAAGTCTAGAGTCAAACTGGCTTTACAAGATTAAACGATATGAGAAGATAAATTGGTTGATTTTCCAACATCGAGGAAACCAAATCGAGTAGATATTGGCAGATTTTTATGCCCCAGCTTACCGGAGTCTTTGAGGGAACACACTCGGCTATCAGATGCCACCTTTCAGGAGTTCCTTTTGGGATCGCGGAAATGGCCGTTTCCAGCTGATTCTGCTCCTTCTGACTCCAGCCCGTGGAGCCGGGCACTTCAGGGGAATTGGTGTTTGAAGTGGCCGCGGTTTTCGCCGACTGTTTTTGCTTCTTGCGGCTCACGTACACGTCACCACTATCGTCATCATCATCAGCTTCTTCTCCTGCATCGTCCACTACATGTTGATCTACAGGAAGTAAAGTACCGGTGATTAGCTTTGGCATACAAGGAACTATCAGCTGTGGAACGTCTACATATCTAGACGTCTATTATTCCTTGTAATAGTGGGCATAAAAAGGAAGGGGAGAGAGAGAAAGGAAACTAAAGAAGAGGAAAGTGAATAATACAACTCACCAAGAGGCTCCTGACTTGGCTCCGGTTGTGACTCACTTTTCGGCAACGGCTTTCCGGCTCGCTTCGCTTTCCGCTTCGACAAATAGTAGTCATCCTCGTCACTCTCCTCACCCGACGACTCATCTACACTAGCTAGTGATGCAATGAAAGGACGACAAGCGCTTACGACTAAGGAGGCTGCGAGAAGACAAATCGCTGGCAATGGTGGCGGCCTTAGAGGTCACATCGCTGACCGTTCTACCCAGCATTTCTGCAATCTTTTTCCATCGATTTGGATAACCACCGGGGTACTTGTTTGCAAGTCTCACTAGCAACAATTCGTCATCCGCTGTCCATGGTTGCTACCAGAGGTTTTTTTCTCTTTTAATTTAACATACCTCCGTTCCTTCAGGCTCCTTTTCTGAGACTTCCTCACACGTGGAAACAAGATTGCTTATTTGGTAAACAGAGGGAGTTAGTTCGTCAAATTCTGCGACCGGATTCTGTTGCCTTCCACCAGTTTCGACAGTATGCCTTTTCTTCTGTCCTCTCTTTTGCAAACGCTCGCTTTGCATCTTCTTGATTTCTGAAAGAAATAAACCTCCATGCACAAACTCTAGATGCAATGTCACAAATTGCAGTGTCACCAATTCGATAATCGTCGGTTGTCATGCTTGCAAAAATAGCATTCTATTAGGCCATGCATAAAGTAGCTTTTTCTGTATTACATCACATCACACGCAAGCATGTTTGCTATGCGTTGTAATCGTATTCAGAGTGCATCACTAGTGTTCAGACAAAAGTCTTTAACTAATCATCCATTAATAAAATATCTGGTTGGAAAACCTCATCAGACGTGGAAAGAGTTAATGCCTCATAACGCAAAAAGCAAGTAGAAGTACGGACGTTATAAAAATTCTTACCTTTCAGCTCTTGTCGTTCCTTTATCACCTGCTCTACGGAGTGGAAAAGAGTTTGTCGCAGCTCACGGCATAAAGTAGGAACTGACAGGATGAAGGAGAAGATCCCACGCACAAGGGCGATCGGAAGAATATCCAAAAAATTGGGCCAAGGTATTGCCTTCAGTTGTTCGGCGATTTCAATGTCAATTGCAACTTTTCGTTTTTCAGAAGCCTTATGCCTTTTCATGTGGTTTTCTAAGCGTTCACGCTGGAATAAAAATTTAGTGATTGGAAATAAAACTCAAACCAGGTTCCACCGTCTTTCAAACGTAAGCCCCCATAAAGTTGCAAAGTGAATAGTTATTACAAGAATCGACGACAATAAACCAATCTCCAAATTCGACATTTTTCGCAGTTTGCGATAGTAAAACACAGGCGTTTTCCAATCAGGCATGCCGTTTTCTAGCACGTCATCATAACTAAAATTGTCTGGCATTGAGTAAAAGTACCTACCGCTCCCTTCGATCTTTGTCTTTGAGTATCTGATAAATCACAGATAGTTGTCTGAATTTCACATGAGCATCTGGATCATTAACATTCTTGTCAGGATGCATTTCCAAGGACAATTTTCGGTAGGCCCGCTTAATATCCGAAGCGAGAGCTGTCTACTAGACAATAAATGTTAATTGACTTTTCGCCTACGTTTGGAACATTCAAAAACTCATAAAAGTTTTTATCGAGCTCCTCAATAAGGTCAAACATTTCAAGATCAGCTTGGACCCATGCCTGAGAGCCAAAAGGTTGGCCTAAGAGACAAACAAGTGCCAACACAACCAAGCCAACCATCTTCACACGAAATGTGAGAAAGACACACAACATAGCAAATTGACCCAATCATTTCAGAGTTGCTTCAGACTCAATTACTTAAGGCTTCAATGAGGTTAACATTCTTTGAAACAGCTTCCCACTTCCGAGTTATTTAAATCATTACTGCTGCGTATCCCAGTTATCATTTTTAATCCTATTTAGTACACCAGGGAAAACGATACCACATCACTCAATGTTTCCGTTCCCATTATTTGAAGTGAACGAGAACAATCCAGTAATTTTGGTATTATTTAAAGCGCTTTTTAATAAATAAAGATTGCAAAAGAAATTTGAGCCTAAAATTGATTTCGTTTTCAAATGATCAAACCACTTTTGTTTCATAAAAATCGGTTTTAGGTACTGAGGTTTGAAATTGCCGTTGCCAGCCGATTGATACTAGAGTGTCAAAGTCTAAATTACTTCTGAAGTATACAGTGCGCCTATAAAAAATTGTTGTGTGCCTTCTGGATATGACAGCCTCCTGAACAAGTAAAATCATTGGGAAATCGAATGCAGGAAAGCATGAAGTTGTACAAAGGGGAAGCAATTTTCGTACAGCAGGAGCAAGTTTATCATATGCGGTTAGCCTATTATGGCCGTTAAAAATTATCAAAATACATGAATTGGCTTTTGATTCTTTAGTCGCCCTGAAATACGCAGCTGTTCATACTACTATTGTAAATGGTACCTAATTTTTGACTGATAATGCTCAGAATACTGTAATTTATTAAGATTTGCTTGTTAATTCAAGATATTAATTTATTGGATTTCAAATATTTTCAATACATGTATAGTTAATGCTATTCAGCTGAAATGCGACTCCTTGTACACAATGTATGTCAGCTGTCTGAGTTTGTGAAATTCAAAGGGACGAACTTATCTTTCTCGAATCTAGGTCACGGATCTTTACAATTTGTCTTAGCTCTATAAAATTTGATGTGCGCGCGGCATTGCTTACAAAATCACGATCTATTTCTTTTTAAGACTATATGTACATTTCGTGAAAAATTTAGGTTAGTTAATATGTTTTCAAGGGTGATTGCCTTTCTCTAGTGGTAAAATTGCGTAATCATCCACAATAGGGACTTCTGTAATTTAGTTCACACCATTTTGCAAATTTAATCCCAGTTATAAGCTTCATGTAGCATCATTTCTAGACAAAATTCTTGGGCATAAATTATAACCTGTCTAGGCCACATTTGTGACACTACTATGCGATGTGCGCAATCACATTTATGCATTAAAACATGCCCATTTGTGAAAAGCAAATTCAAATGGATAATTATTACAGTAACTTAGCTAGTTATGTACCATATAATCTACCGTAAAACTCGAATATGGACAAAACAATCGATAAATTTTTTCGACTAATGAAATCATAACCTAAATTGGCAGGCTAGAACCCTTGTAACCCTGTCACTGCCTTTCAGAAAACGATGCTGACCTGTGGGTTACCATTCTTATAAGTGCACCCACAGTCTGAATAAATATTTATAAACATAGCGGGGGTGGCGGCTGTCAACAAGTGTGCTGTACCCCTAATGAATGATTACATTCAGACCTGGAATGATTTTTACGTGGGCGTATCAAAAATATAAGCTATCCACAACTTTCGTTGGCTTTGCGTAGACGGCTGTTTTTGGAAACTGTGAGATGTGGGCTTTCGCATTTTACCCTGGTTTCCGCTAATTAATAATCGATAAAAGCGTCACAGCCTAGAATTGATTTTATTTTCTAAAATTAAATGTTAAAGAATTCTATGAAACTAACTTAGCATTACTAGAATTCTTTTTAAAGAGTTAAACAAAGTTGTAAAAGATTTTTTTTGATAATAATTTGCCAAAATGAAGATGGGGAAGAATAGGAGAAACTGCAAAATCCAAACACAGCCACAGTTGACTTTGTCAACACCAGACAAAACCGATTTCACAGCCTGCCCCAAACTAGAAACAAGCAAACCGCAGTCATTCTAAACAGCTTTCGTGAACGGTTATGCAGGCCCGACCTGGTAACTGTTAGAAAGGTGAGGATTACTGGAAAAGTGCCAAAAAAGTTGTTCAATTTGTCTAGATTGCACGAGGTATTAAATTTTTTCCCTGCAACCATCGTCTAAGGTTATTTTATCAATGACTGTTCCCCAAGCTAACTACAGCTTCAAAAGTAATACTGCTGGGAATTGAGGATTCTTCCAAGATGACCCATCACCGGTTTTCGTCATTGTTTACACTGATCCCCTAACCACGCCACATGGGCGGATGAGTAGTCACCCCCGGCATCCTACCGACGACCTTATCTGTGTTAATCCGCTTTTATCCATTAGGTCAATGGCACCGCTGACTGTCTCATAAATGTTGGCATTGTGACTGATCACTGGCACTTTAGCTGACGCGATTGACGCTCTCTACACGAGCTGTGGTCTTGTTCTTGCCTTGGCGTGGGAAGGTCGGGTTTAGCGTCAACAAGGGATCTGTAACCGTTATCTGAGAGATTTCTCTTGGCTTCGGGCAAACTTAACACGCACAAGTTGGATTCTTATACTGGTCAAATTTTAAGGTCCAATTAAATTGTGAAAGCTCGTTACCAGAAGTATGCCGGTGTCTAACTGCCTCGGCACATTGGTAAACAGCGTTTGATAGGTGCACACACATTTGTAAACAACACTACCGTGCATATTTAAATGGAGCACCGCGCTGGCCGAATGCATTATTAGCCACCGAGGAGATAGCTCGACGGATACAGTGAGTACTTCTGCTTGTTTAATTATTGCTGAAAATTTGGCAAAATTTGCTTGGGTGCTTTGGCCTTTCACACACGTAGATAATACGCATTGTAGATTGAGCTTGTGTGCAGAGAACTCACATTGAATGAATTAGGGTTGAGCATGAGTGACCTTAATGCTCAGTTTGCTTGTACTTTTAACCTCTGCACTAAGGCCGTTAAATTCCTGGAGTGGTAAGGCAGTATTTCACGCCGCAACCACTGACGTTTCCGTTTCAATTGGTCTGCGAACCAAATAAATATCAAACAGAGATTGACAGCCATTCATTCTATAGAACTAACTCTACACCTAGTGGAGTGTCAACGCCACATCCACCTGAGTTCGCAGTTTCAATCGAAAACGGAACTTACTTTTGCTGGTTTTGACATATGTAGTGGGCCCCAGCATGTGTTCTTGAACCACGTCGGGGTCACGGAATTAACCCTGGCCCGATTACGCTTCCCTGATACCCGCGATGAAGAATGAGATCGGAGAGGACGTGGACACAACCGTTTACTTCAGATCTCAACCAAAACTGGTGTCGTTATGTCGTGTGTGGTGTTTGCGCGTGTGTATTTATAGCTCGGATGCGTGAGTCATACATGCGCTAAGATCAAGACCCAGGTGTGGGAATAACCCAGGATGAATATCCGTGCGAATGAGAGGGGATTTGAGGATTCGCACCGCTGGCGACGTGCTGCGGAAAGGGGGAACCCTGTGTCGGAGGCTGGAGTGATCGAATTGACGAGTATGAATAAACACGATTCAAAACACGCATTTGACCACCTAAGTTTCAATCCTGCGGGATAATTCGAACAAAACTTTTGCCACATTCTCCCCACGTCCTTGAACTTATTGTTCAAAAGTGCATTTTAAGCAGCACTTTTAAATCAACCTGCTTGTTTATTCGCAGTGCCGCGAATGCATACATTCTACTCTATGGGGCACATTTAAAAAAACATGCAATTTTGCTATGCTTTTGAACAAATGAATAAAATTTACTCACACGCATTTTAATTTCCCAACCTGCAAGAAACCAATCACCTATGTGAATGGTGGGCAACTTAAAATGGTGGCTGGAAAACCGGGTTTCCTTTGCATTTAAATTTGCCACCTAATAATTTTACATTATAATAAAGCATATTCCAGCATCCCTGACGTCTCTTCCACGTCTGCAAATGCAAAATCCATCGAATCATTGGCCATCTACTGATATCCAACTCGATCCTACGCTCTTTCACTTATCCGCTTGTACCGTTGAACCTTGGTTCGAGTCCCATCTAGTCGCGCTTCGTGAAAGTCAAAATTTTCGAAGAGGAAGAGGTAGGGATACTAGTAGGGAAGGAGGCGGACGCGATATAAATTGGATGGTTCCCTCAGCAAAAATTCCGTTCATTTTGAGCGTTTTTTGACCAAATTTACAGCATAACCCATCAAGATATCGAAGCCTTCACTTAAAAAACTAGCCATATTGTTAATTTAATTAACCAAACACGTCATTTGCTGCTTTATTTTTCTCCGTACCCCACTTTCTTAGTAAAAGACAAAGACATGACCTAATTCAATAAATTTAACTGCCGCATTCACTAGCCAGATCACGCGTCAGAATCCACACGTTATTTATATCATGTGTGACCTTGACAAGAAAAGCGAAAAGACAGGCGTGGAACAACGTCTCAGATTGAATGTGATGTGACTGTGTATCTCTTTTTACTTGCAGGATGTATCTCATAGTGGGGTTGTTGCTTGTGACCAGGGGTTTGGCAGTGACACCGCCTCCGATCGACGTTTTTATTGAGGAGGAACACCACGAAGGTACCATGTTGCCACGAAACATTATCTTTTCTACTTTAAACCAAACAGTAGTTATTATTATATAGCTAAAGACACCTGCCAAAAGTTCTAATAGATTTTCTTTTCAGTCATTCCACACTGGGTGGAAGCAGTGAAGAGAAGGGGCTGGATGAAGGCGGACCTGGTAAGCCTACTTAATTTTAGTCGACACATTTTGTGTAATTCAAGTCGATTTTTTGCCACAAATGAACCAATAGAATTGAGCCAATTCACATGTGCCTAGGTTCAACCAATCAGAATTCTATGTGTATTAAGCATTTATCTTGCCTTTTTGCAGATACACATTGACGGACACAGTGACATGGATTATCCCAGGATAATTGAGGACTTACCGGTGGGACATCCGCCAATCAACGACAAGCAGATTTCCGCCATGATGCAACGCAATGACCAGTTTATCCAGGTGAGCTCAACCAATGAGTGTTAAGGAAACAGGCAATTCATATCACTGCACAGATGCAGTTGGTTAAGTGCCCAAACAGCTGGACAGTTGTCACTAGAAATTAACAGAATTATCGATCCTAGTTTAAGAATCAACATTTTGTGGCGAGCAGCAATCGTGAGCGAACACAAATCAATCGATTTTTTGTGAATGCATTGTATTGGACAGACGGCCGCCGTGCGTGATGCACTTATGACTCACCCTCTTTGCTATTGGCTCTAGTTAGCAGTTGACTCTTTGTCTTCTCTTTTCTCGGGTTGCGATTGGCTGTTAACTACAGAGTTGCGTGCTAGTGCTTAATTTAGCCGCTATAAATTGTTGTCGCCTTAGGCTGCAATCGCCAGTCACTTGGTACGAACAGTTTACCTCATTCTCCCCACGTGGACCACCAATTCCACCGTCGCGACCAACGCCTCACTCGGCCAGACAGTTATGACCAACGGCCAACGCCAATTCTGCATCTGCTTCAACGAGGAATCGGATGCAGTTTGTCAAACTAGAAGTTTGCACACCATCTCAGAAGAGATTGAAGTTTCACCGAGTCAATGCGTCAACCGCTCCCACTACCAACACATCGAACTCAACTCTCGGAACGCGGCAGGCGTACTAAGGTTCTCCAAGACACGCGCTCTTCCACAGAACGACACTGCTCACCCTCTCATTCTCGACATTGACGAGGACTTCTTCGGTGTCCAATTGGTTGGAATGGTGCTAGCCAATCTGGACTGCGAAATGCAGATGGCTGTTCACATCAGCGAGTCACTAAGAGAGGTGCTGTGTCTTAGGAAAGGCACATCTGACGAGGAAATGCTAGCCGACGCCTGGTTCAGGGGCTTCATCAACGACATCAAGTCCGAATGCCTGCCAGACGGTGAATGTCTAGACTTCCTCGACAACGCGACACTGTCAGGCGAGTGTCAGGCTGCGATACGGCGTTCAGCCAATGGCATTGACCCCACGATCGCGTGCACAGATGGTGACAGGGTGGATTTTTACGTTACACGGCTCGCACAGGTTCTTGCCTACCTCACACCTGAGCAGCTGGACGAAGTGGCGCGGATTGGCGCGTGTTTTGAAAACGCATGGCGAACACACGCCTATGAGGGACAGGTGGGCCTCTGTTTGGGACACAACATTCCCGGCGCATCGATCGTGCCCGAATTTGTTCCAAGTTATCGCGATTTGATTGGTCTGGGGCGCAATTTCACTCGAATCGTCAAATCGATTTTGCCACGGCGACCCGATGTGATTACCATTGCGAGGTCGGCGCGAGACGGCTACGTTGTGCGTCACCTACAGCCATTGGTGGAGGCGGTTATCATCAAGGTCATCAAAGGTGTCTTCAATGTGTCCGATGAGAACTTTCACTTTTCTGAGTATCTTGCCGGCGGAAAGGGTGGATGGATTAACCGACATTCTACAAACAAATCTGGTTGATATTTCGTCTTTTTTGTTATTACTGTACTTCAAGTCATTTTTAAAACACAATTTAACATAAGACAAAACCTTTTGTACTTTTTAAGTTGTAGTAGCAATAGTAATTCTGAAAAATTAAGTGTGCCCTTGCTATTTGACACACATCACCTGATGGTGAAAAAGGGTTAAACAGTAAGTTTTTCAAGCATTGGCTGGCAAAGTACACTGCACAGTGGACCAGGTTATTCGTACGACATTAATCTTGTACTCTCATTCTAGCTGACATTTAAATAACTAGGGTTTAGTGCAGAATTTGGGGTTCATGTGATGGATTCACAATGTGTCAGCTGTCTCCCTGTGAGCAACGAGCGCACAGACGCTTCTGATTGGCTCTAATATGTGCGATTTAATCAAATTGGTGAATGTACAATTGGGCTATAATTGCTTCCGTTGGCTGAATCTAGAGTTTGCGCTGTAATTAAGCGTTATCCAGACCAAACGCATGCTGGGAATCTGTCGCGTGTAACTAGGGCCACAACAACGCCACGTTATTGTCACATCAGATGGAATTTAATTAAACCGTGGATGATAAGTATCCAATGACCTCGAACACAGAAAAGGCACAAATATGTGAGTCTTGCAGTGATTTCGAGTCAGCATGGGAGCTGTGGAACACTTGGAACAGTCTCGTTGATGTGTCACCACGAGGCAGACATTCGTCTTTACCATTGTGCCTCAAATTGTCACGACTACCTGACGGTTTGCGGCGATTGGTTATTGTGAAGTGAGGCTCCCATTGGTTCAAGCCGCGTTCGAAGCGGAAATTATTGGTCAAGGTGGCTTTTGGACCCACCGTGCGGCAGAAACCGCGTGAATTTGTAGACACAAATTAATGACTGCACTTGGGTGTTTTTGGCACACAGCATGCGGAAAAGGACAAACACATACGCACACACACACACGGCTAGCACGTCACAAGCTTGCACGTAAAGCGAGTGCCTTCGGACACGCGTGTAGGCCAGCGACGGCCCAGATTTCCTTCTTACTGCGCCCATTTTCAGGCCAATGTGACTTGCCGCTTTTCCGTATATACATTGCAAATCTTGGAGACGTGCGGTCAGTGGGTTCGAGTAAATTCAGTCCAGTCCACGAAAGGGGAGGTGCTTAACCGTCGGCCAGCACAAAGCGGATAATTGGGATGGCACATTCTTGCCCAAGACGCAAACAAGTGTTCCAGCTTATTCACGTGACAGAACGGGCATGCTACTGTTGTGGCCTTGAACCACGCCGGGGCCCCGGAATTAACCCCAGCCCGATTAAGTTTCCCTGATACGCGCGATGAAGAAAAAGATCGCAGAGGACGTGGACACGACCGTTTACTTCAGAGCTCAACCACGTTGGTGTCGTTGTGTCGTGTGTATTTATACCTCAGATGTGTGAGTCATAGATGCGCTAACATCGAGGCCTAGGTGTGAGGATGATCCAGGATAAATGTTCGTGTGAATGAGGGGGGAGTTAAGGATACGCGCGACTGGCGACATGCTGCGAAAAGGGGGAACTCTGTGTCGGAGGCTGGAGTGATCGGATTGGCGAGTGTGAATCAACGAGACTCACATGGGGTCGACAGTTAGCATGAGTCATTCTAGCTCTTTATTGATTGGCTCATATCCTTTAACCTCTCTGATCACACAGGCGCCAAAACACACTCCAGGCTGATCGAATGAATAAACAGTCGTGCACATCGCATTTATTCATTTGTTTTTATCCCAAATTATTCGTTTCGGAGGCTCGTTAGAGCTTCAGAGTGTATTATTGATGAAGTAAGCCGCCGTTGTTTGCTTGGAGCAGAGACTAATAGCAAAGTTCTGAAAATTGCGCTGCCTGCTGTAAAGAAGACTCTTTTCAATGCATTAAACATGAAATTTGTGCATTTTGAGACCTATGCTTCAAAGTACTTGGCCGTCGCTCCCGCTTACCTCGACACTGGCTACTGGTTGTCCTGGGAACATGTCTACCACTATGAGGTGTGTCCTCGTCTCCGGAAATGCCGAGGTCATAACTACGTGGAGCCAAAAGTACGAAGGTTTCTGGTGCTGTTTATCGCATTGGCCAAATTGTAAATGCAAAATTCACGCGACATCAACTTGGGAAGTACACTTGAGTATAAGTCGGAATACACGAATATCCACTAGCTAAACACAAATTTGGTGGTTGGAAATATTTAAGTCATGACTCTCTTACGACCTTTAAGGTTGTAGTTGCTAGTGGTTTAGAACTACCCTACAATCATCTAGTTAACAGCCCGTAACAACCCAAGAATAAAGTGGAACGAGAGGCGACAGAGGACAGGACCGTTTACTAGCATCACACCAGCCAAGTGTGGGCATGAGTGAGCGGATGATTGAGCGAATGACAGGCGTCTGATAACGGTAACCAATGAAAATGGGGATGAGTCATTATCACCGTCAGGTCAGTAAACGGGGGTTAACCCGCTACAAGGTCACGATTACTTTCGCTCTCAACTTAAACAACGGGCATTCTACAAAGGATATTGCGCTACTTTCAGAATATGTAGGATTTTTTAGTGAAGACATAAACGTTGGAACCGTAAAATCTGGTTTTTAAATTTATAAATCAGCCCAGAGTTTAAGTAATTTTGAGAAATGTGGTAGGCTGGTCCATTCTCAAATCAATGGCGAATGGTAACAAAACACTGATGGACGACATTTCGCTAAGCTAGAATACTTCTAACCGGCACTTACAACACGTTGTGTTGTAATTCCTGTCTACAGCCGCCGCCGCCGCCACCGCATCCGCATGTTATGATCCCCTATGCCTCAGTTTCGGTGTTCGTCTTGGTCAAGTGTACATGTCTGGTTCACCACCCCCACCCCCCCCCACCGACACGCAGGGCACCTGGTCAGTCAGTCCCCCATGTGGGTTGAATGGTTTACCCCAAGTCAATCGATTAAAAGCTGGTAGTTTTTATTTCGCCTCCTGTGCATATCTACCTGACCAACATATCCGATTAAGCTGTTAAGTAAGCAGTTGAATTTAGGGTTGTGCCCAGCTTTTGTTCTTCTTTTTTCTCGATTTCCTACATCACCGATATTCAGGAGGGTAAATTTGGATGTGTGGTGATTGTGGTCGATATTTTAACCAATCAGGTTTGAATATTTACCGTTCCCTCTGTGAACTAATTTGCCTATCTTATGAGGTAGAGTGCATAGCCTGAGGGAGTCACTGACCCACTAAATGACCAGTGAATTTTTAGGATAGAGCACGACTCGGTTATCCTCAAATTTGGCCATCCATCACAGTGGTAAATCAGACCGCAACTCAACTCCGGTAGCAACAAAGATTTTTTGGGTAAAAAGGATGAGGTAGATGAGTAAGAGACAATTTGGAAATGTCCACACGAATTCTAAGCGAAACTCAACAACGGCATGGTGGAGACTTTGATGGGCGTCTGAAAAATTGCAACCGCAATGAAACGGAAAGCAGTAAATGGATTTTTACCCCATAATGGAATCACCAATGTCTTATCTTATGGAAATGTTATTTGTAAAGAATTTGACCATACCGAGACGTAAAACAAGAACACTAGACGCACAGCAAATTTGACATGATTTTAATTAAAAAATGCTGCTTGGTTGGTCGTTACTTTTCGTTCAGGAATTGAGAAATAAAAATGAAATACTAACAGGACTAGAAAGTTGTTCTATCACTAAACACGTTTCAGGAGCTTATTTTAATGCCATCTGCACTGTGGCGTTGTTCACCTGAGTTAAAGCTAATTACTGGGTGTAAATCAGATTAACGAAGGCCAGCATTTCTTCTGTACCAAAATTACGAATTCTTCCACCGAAAATAACAGCTAGTTTTCATTAGAAACCTGGGTTTAGTGAGAGCCACGTACGCAGAATACCTGAAGTGGCCACATTTTTGCGAATTGGCGCGGTCTCCGTGCGGCATATTTAGCCCGTCAGGCGCTGTGGTTAGGCTGGTTGCGCCAGTGTGCAGGCTATCGCTGTAGTAATTCTGCTATCAAAACTACTTGCACCACCAAAGATTATTTGGTTTCGTGTAATTTTGGCATGACTAGCTCTTCGTTAAAAATTCTTGCAGATTTGTGATAACCACGACGCCTAGCTTCGTACTTTTGAAATTTGCTCAGTGCAAAATTGTGCCATTTCAAGTCCAACTATCTGATGTACTTATTTGGACATGTTCTGTTGATGTGTAACGCCAATCGCCCTACAATGCGAACTTTAAATAACACATCAAACACAAAGAGTGCTATTTTTTCTGTTTTAACCAAGTGAAGTTGAAACCTTCAGAATCTAATTCTACTGCATGTCCTGATTTTATAAGAGCGTGAAGTAAAAAATGTGTTTACACCGTGACCGCGTCGCTGCATTCATAATCCCCCTAAAATACACCTTTGTGGCAATTAAAACGCTAACAATAAACACATTGTGGCTTGTTATTTTTAGAATCTTAATTGTGTGTCTACGACCAACGAGCCTCATTTAAGTGACATCCAATCGTCTCAGTCGACCAATCAGTGCTCGGAATTTCAACCAATGATCACTCTAGCTTTCTCCCACCAATGTTGTCCGTGATTCACTCGTAAACATAAATTAATAGCGGGGCAAATTACGCTGCTACCATTCGATTCCCTTTTTTGAATTTCGAAAAAATAGGACCCCCAATTCTACCGAATAAATCATAGTGTCAAATGAGATGAACACGTTGTAAGGAAATATGATGAGAATGCGGTTTGTGGTTTCACACGACACCCGAGTATTCATTGGTCAATTCGAACTCATTAAATCGATTCTTCAAACTTCAACAGAGGCCTGACTTCGCTCAATGACTCTGGCAAAATAGAGTCCTGTTTAGTTTTAGAAAACGTGTGATTTGAGACATTTTCCTCCTAGTTTAAGGACCGTCAATGTAAACTCTACATTTACCCAAATTAGTCAAACAATTTTTTTAAAAAATTGGCATGAATAGTGCACCTAAAACGCCTTAACAGCTACCTCCATCCGATAAGGGTGACACCTTGTCTGGATGTTCATGAAACGGTCATTAAGCTTAACTCCCTTCTTAATGGACACCTCAGGCGAATTTTTTAGACGTCTGGTGTCGCCGGTTGATGTGGAGGGTTATTCATTAGGTTTGATGCCATTTGTCTCCGTGCCATCGTCTTCCAATCAACTTCTGCCCTGCATATCGAGGTTTCATTGGTCGAACGTTGCCACAACAGACATTTCGGTAAATTATGGATTAACTAAGATGTAAAGGGGTCTGCGGAATGAGGAATTATCAGTCACAGCATAACATGGCCTTGCATAAACATCGCGCTTTTTTATATGGGGACAAGCTCTGCCTCCAGTTATTTGTCACCTGGTTCATGCAACCGCTTGAATGTAAATTGTATTGGAAATCGACGTGTTAAACATATCTTCACTGGTTCAACTTGATTAAAATGCACAGTAATTTGCTACTACGGCAAACCCATTGGGCTGGTAATCATTTGAATAAGTTTGAGAGATACATGCTGCCTTTATTGGACAACAGGATAGCGAAAAGCATGTCGAGAACGCTGCTGAGGTGTGACTTTACGTGTCTCTCCGCATACAGCCTCCAACACAGGATTCCTCCCCTTCGCAGCATGTCGCCAGCCGCGCGGATTCTCAACTCCCCTCTCATTCACACGAACATTTATCCTGGACCATCCCCACACCTGGGTCATGATCTTAGCGCATGTATGCTTCACAGATCTGAGGTATAAACACACACGACACAACGACACCAACTTGGTTGAGCTCTGAAGCAAGCGGTTGTGTCCTCGTCCTCTCCGATCTTTTTCTTCATCGGGGGTATCAAGGAAGCGTGATCGCGCCAGAGTTAATTCAGCAGCCCCGACGTGGTTCAAGACCACATGCTGGGGCCCACAACAAGCATGCGTCCAGAAATTGCAACAATATGTTCTCCCCATTGCCAAATTGCCATTGCTTCGACTCTGTTTTTACCAATTCGTGTGTGGATCACATGAAGAGGTGATAGGGACAAGGGTATTAAGTTGTGAAAGTTAATGAGATAGATTACCTTAGGGTGACAAATGGGACTCTGGGTTATAGGGTAGAGAGTGTCGCTGACGTCAACATTTGGAATTAAATAGTCTTCATATCATTATTTGAAATAAATGGCGGTGAATATAAAAAAGGCTAACCTACTTAGGAGTGATTGTTAGGTTATGGCAAACTGTGGAACGATATTTGAAGGTAGAATAGCCCTCCAAGTAGCTGGAATTTCTGTTGCAGATTATTCGCCTGCATTTTACCTTCAACTGGCATCCGCAGAGTGAAGGCTTTGGCATTATGTAGGGCGGAAGGGAGATGTCGTTAAGGCAAGTGAGTAGACGAACTATGCGGTCATTGGCAAGCTCCAGACACTCCCAGACGTTTCTGGTTGCGCTTCCACATGAAAATCAGAAACTCGCACAACTAATTCAAGCCTGTCCACTTTGAAGACTTGAGGGAATAGAGCATGGTATAATTAAACCAATCACAGAAATATTTGTGCCAGATTCACAATGCAATAACGTTGGCCTGCAATCAAAGGAAGAAATCATCATGGTATACCATAATGCTTTGCGTAAAGAACTGAAATTCAATCAACTAATGATGTCTCGTCCACAAAGTATGGAAGATTTGGTCAACATGTCACCATGCTTTAGGTGGAGTCGGCAATTATTTAAATCGATTCTCATTCACTTGTTTAAAGATAAGGCATGTAACTTAGGTCACCTACAATTGGGAATCAGCAACCCTATGGCTGTAACTTTAGCGTTTTCGACAATTTACTGTTTTCCACACTAGGGCGGACAATATGCGCTGACAAGGAGGACAGAAAAAGTAGAAATGCAGATGGTGCAGCGTAGCTCAACTAATTTATTGATGCAGCAACGGTGGTAAGAAGTGCGTTTAAGCAGCTTCGCTAAGCATCGATCGCTGCGCGCACGCAGCTGCGTGAAGTGTGTTCACGAAAAATCGATTTTTCGCGCCACAGGCTGTACCTATCCCACTGGCCACCGCACCTTCGAGTGCACTACTCATCTTAATCGCACCCAACGCCGTCCACACTCACAAATAAGCGGGCTGAGACAACGAAGACTCCCGGCTCGGGGAGGGCGCTGACTCATGCGTGTCCTGTCTGTGTCCACGGTGTGGAAAGCCTTACCTCGCGGTAACAAAAAGGGCTTTCGATTATTTGCGTTATTATGTATCGGTAAAGCGCGTGTGGAATCAAGTTGAAACAAAATAACTGTCCAAAAGCAGTGTGCACGATTTAAATTGGCGAGGCAAATAAAATTGCCATTAATTTTACTTCCGATTTGAGCAGGTAAAGGCTGGTCATCATCAGTGATCGATTAATGAGACGTGGCTACAGCAGTGAAATCGCGCGTAAACGCCAATCAAGAGTTTGTGAGTTAATACCAAGTAGTAAACACCAAAACGGTGTGGGTGTGCGCCTTTTGCCACGATAGCTAGACGTCAAAACGTAAATTTTCACACCGAAAGTGTTTTAGCATGTCTTTCCTTTGTACTGAATGCTTCAGGACAATGATTCAATTCAGGGATCGAAACTAAACAAATGATAACGCAGCCTCCACTGTCCTCAGACCGTTGACAGACTGTCAACTTCCGGAGTCAAGTCAACGCAATTGCAAGGGTTTTTGGGCTTGTGAGGAATGGCGTCTAGAATTTTAGACTACTTGAGGTATTTCTAAGATACATTGCGGCGTTTTTTTTAACAAATAACGGTTTAAAAAGCATTTCTTTGCCAAACCTTCATAAAAACATAATTTGCCTCTTCTCCACCTAACTTCACCGGACACTAGGCAGGAAAAGTAAGTTTTCAGATCATGATCAGT